CCCCAAAACCCCAAAACCCCAAAACCCCAAAACCCCAAAACCCCTATTTAAACTATAAAAATGGAGGCTCCTAAATTCATAATTAATTCTTCCGGGTAACATAAATGGAGGTATCAAGTCCAGCCTGAATGTGGTTTACTAGTCAAACACAGAGCAATATTTTCTCTAATTATCATATTGCGTGGCTGAATTAGCAATCAAGAAGCCAACTCAGATGAGAGAAAATCGAATAAGACTGCTCTTCGAGGTTGCTTAGATGTGAATTGCCAACTTGGAGAGGGTGCCCAAGGAAGTATATACTTGATGACATATGGTGAGTCTGAGAAATTTGCTCTTAAAGTATGACGAAAGAAAACTAGTCTAAAATGAGCGAGAAACTATTCAATTCAAAATAGTTTTAAAGCTATCGAAATTTTGAACGAGGTCAAAATATTAGACAGTCTGAACCATCCCTTTATAATAGAGTTCTTTGAAAAATTTGAAACGGAGAACTATAACTCTTTCCTGCTAGAGTTTTGCCAAGGAGGGGACTTACTACCCTACATGCACCCCTTGATTTATACTGTATACCACCTTCAGAAGGTCAATAAACAAGAAAGAAAGTTTTCAGAGTCGAGTGTTAAATTCTATGTTAGCTGCCTTGCTCTTGCACTTGACTATATTCATAGTAAAGGCTTTGTGTATAGGGATCTTAAGCCGGAAAATGTCCTCCTGGACAAAAATGGGTACCCCAAGATCTGAGATTTTGGTCTGTCAATCCCCCAATCCGACCTTAACTTCAAGACATGAAGAAGGCGATGTGGCATCAAAGAATATTTTTCCCAGAAATTGTCAAACGAGAAGTTTATGGAAAAGAGGTGGATTGGTGGAGTCTTGGTATCCTAACTTATGAGCTCCTTTAAAGATACCAATATATTCGTGGAGCATGAAAATATAAAGACTAAAAACCCTCTTATTGCACTAGGGATGATCTTAGCCATGAATGTATCGAGTTTATATCTCAGCTATTATCCAAGGATCGGAATAATAGACTTGGTAAGAATGGTATAAAAGACTTTATTGTCCATCCCTGGCTTGAGGATATTGACTTTAAGGAGCTTGAGCACCAAAACTCAGAGCCTCCATATCCGATTGAAGGAGTGTCTCCTTCAGAAACACATTTCTTCTGTGAAGAATACACTCAGAAGATGCTTGATCACCAGCTCGTACAGGAGATCAGCTAAGTCGAGTTTCATCATATCTTATTATATAATTAACGAGTTTCATTCTGGATCAGAATTTTCGGGGTTTTGGGGTTTTGGGGTTTTGGGGTTTTGGGGTTTTGGGG